TCGGAGAATATTGCGAAAATTTAGATATTGAGTACGCCTGATAGAGCCATACAACCATAAAAGTAGAACTTCCTGGATAGACGGTATCTACAAAAGGGTGAAAACAGTGATTTGGAGTTTCAAGATCGCTGTAATCAGGAGAATATTGCGAAAATTTAGATATTGAGTACGCCTGATAGAGCCATACAAGCATAAAAGTAGAACTTCCTGGATAGACGGTATCTACAAAAGGGTGAAAACAGTGATTTGGAGTTTCAAGATCGCTGTAATCAGGAGAATATTGCGAAAATTTAGATATTGAGCAAGCCTGATAGAGCCATACAAGCATAAAAGTAGAACTTCCTGGATAGACGGTATCTACAAAAGGGTGAAAACAGTGATTTGGAGTTTCAAGATCGCTGTAATCAGGAGAATATTGCGAAAATTTAGATATTGAGTACGCCTGATAGAGCCATACAAGCATAAAAGTAGAACTTCCTGGATAGACGGTATCTACAAAAGGGTGAAAACAGTGATTTGGAGTTTCAAGATCGCTGTAATCAGGAGAATATTGCGAAAATTTAGATATTGAGTACGCCTGATAGAGCCATACAACCATAAAAGTAGAACTTGCTGGATAGACGGTATCAACAAAAGGGTGAAAACGGTGATTTGGAGTTTCAAGATCGCTGTAATCAGGAGAATATTGCGAAAATTTAGATATTGAGCAAGCCTGATAGAGCCATACAAGCATAAAAGTAGAACTTCCTGGATAGACGGTATCTACAAAAGGGTGAAAACAGTGATTTGGAGTTTCAAGATCGCTGTAATCAGGAGAATATTGCGAAAATTTAGATATTGAGCAAGCCTGATAGAGCCATACAAGCATAAAAGTAGAACTTCCTGGATAGACGGTATCTACAAAAGGGTGAAAACAGTGATTTAGAGTTTCAAGATCGCTGTAATCAGGAGAATATTGCGAAAATTTAGATATTGAGTACGCCTGATAGAGCCATACAACCATAAAAGTAGAACTTCCTGGATAGACGGTATCTACAAAAGGGTGAAAACAGTGATTTGGAGTTTCAAGATCGCTGTAATCAGGAGAATATTGCGAAAATTTAGATATTGAGTACGCCTGATAGAGCCATACAAGCATAAAAGTAGAACTTCCTGGATAGACGGTATCTACAAAAGGGTGAAAACAGTGATTTGGAGTTTCAAGATCGCTGTAATCAGGAGAATATTGCGAAAATTTAGATATTGAGCAAGCCTGATAGAGCCATACAAGCATAAAAGTAGAACTTCCTGGATAGACGGTATCTACAAAAGGGTGAAAACAGTGATTTGGAGTTTCAAGATCGCTGTAATCAGGAGAATATTGCGAAAATTTAGATATTGAGTACGCCTGATAGAGCCATACAAGCATAAAAGTAGAACTTCCTGGATAGACGGTATCTACAAAAGGGTGAAAACAGTGATTTGGAGTTTCAAGATCGCTGTAATCAGGAGAATATTGCGAAAATTTAGATATTGAGTACGCCTGATAGAGCCATACAACCATAAAAGTAGAACTTGCTGGATAGACGGTATCAACAAAAGGGTGAAAACGGTGATTTGGAGTTTCAAGATCGCTGTAATCAGGAGAATATTGCGAAAATTTAGATATTGAGCAAGCCTGATAGAGCCATACAAGCATAAAAGTAGAACTTCCTGGATAGACGGTATCTACAAAAGTGGT